CTTTAGCCATACTATATATATATATATAAATATATATATATATATATTTTTAATTTTGTGGAAGTTCAATAAATATTTCGATTTTTACCAATAAAAAAGTTTAAATGCCCTCTTCTCCAAAATGACTAAAGTTAACACCAATGTCATTGCATCAAAAGACACAAATAGATATTGACTTTGTCATTAACACAGTTACTATGTTTTCATTCATATAAACATACATATTTCTAAAGTGTTATAAAAAATGAGTTTAATAGCTAAAATGTTTCAGAATAGAACAAATTGTAAGATTTGTCCTCTCTGACATGAAAACATAGAAGCTACGGAATTAAAATAGTAAGACATGGTTAAAAATAGTTATGAGGAGTTAATGGAATAAAATAGATTATTGTAATTTAGAAATTATCATAAATAAATAAGGGAAAGATAACTATTCAAAACAAGAAGAAAATAAACAAACTGATTAATAAATGGGCAAAGAACCTGAACAGATACTTTTTCGTGGAAGACATACAATTGGGCAACAGATATATAAAACAATGCTCAACATCACTAGCTATAAAGAAAATGCAAATCAAAACTATGAGACACCACTTCAAACCCATTAGAATGGCTATTATCAATACGAGAGAAAAAATAACAAATGTTGGAGAGGATGTGAAGAAAAAGGAACCCTCGTGAACTGCTGATGGGAATGTGAATTTTAGCAGCCACTATCGAAGACAGTATGGGAGATCCTCGAAAAATTAAGAATAGAGCTGCCTTATGACCCAGAAATCCCTCTTCTGGGTATCTATCTGAAAAATATGAAAACACATATTTGTAGATATATATGTACCCCATGTTCATTTCAGTATTATTTATAATACAACCCAAATTACCTTTGCCAGATGATTGGATATTATTATTATTAAATAGAGGCACAAAAAGGTTCAAAACTTGTTTAAGTTTTCATAATCAGTGGAGTTGGAAGAGCCAGTATTTATTCAAGCTGTCTGGATCTAGAAGACAAGTTCTCAACCACAACACAGTGCTTGTAAGTTTCATTAATAATATCTATCAATTATGAACACTACAGTTTGTCAGACATTACAGTAATAACTTATACAGGGCACATCAGGTAATCTTTAGAGTAGAGTTCATATTCTTCTTGGACTAGACCAGAAAACCAAAATTCAAATGATTTAAGTAAATTCCCAAAGTTGACAGGACTGCTAAGCAATGTAACTGGGTGTGAAATCCCAAACTCTTGGAGTTTCATGTCATTTTTAACTTTGGCTTATTGTCTTTCATTCTCTCTCTAAAGCAAAGTTAGAATATACATAAGTCTCTACTAAGGAAATAAGAAGTGGAGACAGTATTTTTTATTCATGAATGTACTTGGCAACCATGGCTGCAAAAAAGATAGAAGCAATTTACATATCTAACTATACAGAATTATTATATCTAAATACTGACTAAAATGTAGCTATTGAAATTCAGGTATTCAAAGAATATTTAATGACATATATGTGCGTTCGTTTTCTTCATATACTTATGCAACAGAGAGACAATGATGGAAGGTTCACGAAAACAGCAGTGAGTAGTGAAATATTTTATAATTTATTTTTTTCTTTGTAATTTTTCTACTTATTAAAGTTTACCATTTTCTGATATTTATGTTGGTTATGTGACCTAGGAAATAAGAAGAATGATAGACATAATATCAGTAAGCCAAAAATGAAAGTTAAATAATTAAATAAGTAAAAACTTAAAAAAAAAAAAAAGGTTTATTTCTTCTCAAATAATGAACATCTCAAGGCAATTGGGCAGTCCATTGAATCTCTAATTTAGAGCAGTTTTGGATGTTTCTGACAGTGTTCAGATTTTGTTTTCATCCTCTGAGATACTGAGATTCACTAGGGAAACCTAGCATTCCAAATGTGTTAGAAAATACATAATGTGTCAACACATTGTGACATGGGAGTGATACTAGTAAAAGCTGTTTAGGTCTATTAATAACACAAAACCAGTAATATCAGGGAAAATATGAGAACATTGCAGGTTTTCTTTTTTCTTTTTGTTTTGTGCTTATTTGCATCTGTAGTATTATTCTATAAATTAAGAAAAATGGTATATTTTTCTGACATATGAAGATTTGTATGGAAATTTCTCCTTTATTTGGAGCTAGTTATTTGTAAATTATATCTAGAACTATTTTATCCATGCATTTTTCTCACTCATATTTCCTCCTTTTTCTCTATTGTATCATCTCTAATGCTATCATATAAGTGACAAATGAAAGCGTAATTAGCAAAATTCGTAATTTGGTTTATGAAATTTGTCAACTGATTTGCTGTTTCTGACTTCATCTTTTCATAAAGTGGTAGAGAAAGGAGAAAATAAGAGCAACAGATAAGTGAATTTGACCTTACTAAAACATGTCCAAAGTAGGAATTGTCCACAGATATAAATATTCAATTGATTTCTTTTTTGGTTCATGGATGAAATAATTAACCTACTTCTTCCAACTTCACGTCCATTACTGAAGAGGATAAATTGCACAGAAAATGTGCTTATGTTTCTTTGCTTCACTGAATTATTATTATTCATTTTTTATTGCTATTTCTTAAATTTAACCTCATTTAGATGCATCACGTATGTCTTTTAAAAAAAAAAAAACAAAAAAACTACTGATTGAACTCTGAAGATTCTGATCTTGGCTAATACATTCAGTTGCTTCCATTTTTGTCAATAAACATTTTGGAGAGATGACAGCAAAACCTGTCTGGATGTATACTGATTATTGTGGTTTCTACAGAAATATGTGTAACAAATGTGAAATATGACAAGGTGACCCAGTGATAGTGATGGTAGTGATAACAAGTGAACTAGAAATCTCAGCACAGTTGTCAACTCCATTTAGTGAGGCAAAAGAAAGTTCTGTGAGATTTTTTCCCTTGTTTTTCATTCAATTTCCTCTTTCATTATTATAAATTGAAATTAACTTATTTTCTCAATCTCCTCTTTAATATGCTAAGATATGTCAAATGTGTCCAGTTGCCTTGAACAATTGGAATACATCCTATTTTAATCTAATTGATTATATTGATCCCATTCCACTCCTCAAACAACACAGCCAAAAATACTCCATCCATTTCTGCAAATGAAACCTCTAGGTGAAGGTTAATTACAAGGCTTGTAAATGAAACAAGTGAAAAGAGACAATGGTCAATTGAAAATAGACCCTAATAGAATAAGAGAAAATAGAATTTTCTCTTACAACATAAGGGTTGGAATTATAAGCCACAGATGCCAGTTCCCAGTTCCCCATGCCAGCTGAGGGTACATTTGATTCCATTCTTTCCCATTGGATTTGAAAACTGCTTAATTATCCTTGTATTCTAATGACTGTGTTTGCAGCGAGGCACTGAGATCTAAATCCTTTCTCTGATGCAGAGATGGGTTCAGTTTATTTGTCTAAAGAAAGGACTATTCTTATGCAGATACATGTTAGACTTTGATATAGTAAGAAAAAGACATTTACATCCTGCCAATTACAAAAGTATGAAGTAAAAGTAAGTCTGTTCCGTGTGTGTGTGTGTGTGTGTGTGTGTGTGTGTGTGTGTGTGTGTGTAGAGGAGATTGGAGAGAGAGAAGCAAATTGGCACTTTTTCAGGGACAGTCTAGCTATTTGCTATTCCACAGTTGCTTCAAGAGTCTGCGGTGGCAGCTGGTAGTGCTTCACTGATGGCCATGCTTCCAGGAAACAGCAGAGAGCTAAGACTTAACCTAAAACAATAAACTCAATCCTATTAACAAAGTACTGCCCGCCCCAACCCCACATACCGATCCCCTTCCAGAAAACATCTGTCTTGCTGGTCTTCCATTTGTATGCATAAAGTCACTTCTAAAGTTCACAGCTTCCTGAGCATTTTTCTATTCTCTATTTAAAAATGTGTTTTTCCCACCATCATCTGACAACCTTTCAGCAGCAGAAGTTGTGCATACAATTTAGTTCTATTGTCTCTGTCAAGAATACTCTGCTCACATACTAAGCAATGAAGAACATGCATAACTAATGAGGAATGAAATTTATTGGGGAAATACTCTGAAATAAGATAATGCCTTTAGAGAAATTTAGCATTAATCTCATTTGCCTTCCAATTTCCTGTTTTCTGCTGGCATAGTTTATTTTATTTTACTTTTGTTCCAGGGTATTTACCAGTTTTTCTTTCCTGTATGTTTTTTTTTCCCCCACTACAGGAATCCTGCCTCCACTCATATTGCACATTCATCCACTTCAGTTAATTAAATGCTTATCAAGACCTGTTGATCATCACCACTGCTTCCCCTACCTTTTATCTTCCCTGTTGAAACCGATGTTCTTAACGAAATATATTTTCGTTAAGAGTATTTCTTTGAGAATTATCTTCAGATAGATTCCTACAAGGTACTTTCTTTTCAGTTTTGTCATTGTTCGAAATGCCTTTCTTTTGCCTGACTCATTCGGAATGTTGGTTTGGGGCATGATAGTTGAATCATGAGAAGTCAATTTATAACAAAAAAAATTCTTGCTCATTTGTAATCAGTTGTTATTGCCTGGAAGACTATTCCTATTTTTTTTTTTTAATTCATGAAGATAGGATTTTACCAAGATATTGCCTCTTTCTCTCTGTTCCTTTTCCAGCAATAAATTTTAATACATAGTAGACACATGGAAAATATTCAAGATATATGAATGAATACATTTTTAGTGACTGCTAATGATAGCTACTCTTAGATTTTTAAAAAAAAAAAAGCATCCTTACCCCTTTGCTCATTAAGTTTAGAGTATAAGAGGACAGTTTCAGATTTAAATATGATAAATACTAAGTTGCAGCTGTTTAAAGATTCAATAAAGTTTTCTCTGTGGAAGTAGATAAAATATTTGTTTTAACAGATTGCATAAAAGTGACTGGGCTTTTCAGACAAACCTTATTTTTTATCCCTTGTTTACTCGAATTGTCATAATCCCAAATGTCTGAACCCTTTGCTTAGTAACAAAGAGATCACTGGGTGATATTCTACTTTGTATCCTTGTCTCCATCATTTAGGGCATCTAGTTGTTAGTGATTACCAAAACACAGAGAAAGCAAATTCACTGAACCTGAACCAGCATTCATGTCAATCTCCAATCTAGAAAAGATTTTAGGATTTCATCCAGCTCACATGAGGAACTGAAGGGTCATCGGGTTTAGCAGTGGGAAGGAGTCAGAGATACTCCCAGACAGAAGAAGGAGTATATGGAAACACTAGAAGCAAGAAAGAGAAGAAAAACAGGTAAGAGATCATTAAGTACATGGAGCCATATTAAAAATATGAACTTGAATGCAACGAGGAGGCATTGAATGGAAACAAATTTATGATGCGAACTGCCCTGAATAATCACTCTAGGAGGCTCTACAGACAAGAGTGATGCTGGGTTGAATTGATGGTTACATGACAAACAGGCATGGAAAACATATAATTCTTATTTTAGTGAAATGTTTTCCATTTAATCCAAAACAATAGCAATAAGGAAAACTGTCTAAAAAACAGTCTAATAGCTATAATAGAGCCACTAATTTTTTTTGGAACAAAGGGAAATATTCTTGTATATTTTTGTACTTGATTCGTATTCTGGCTGGTGTAAAACACATTAGTCCTTTTTAAAGGTTTAGTTTTTTTTCCTTTTTCAAGAATCTCTTTTAAACACCATCATGTGGTGTGGGAGATTTCCTGAGACTTGCAGGACATCTGCTTAAGCTCTGAGATTTCTTTAAAAATAAAATAAACTGTGAGAACATTGGTCTGCCCAAAATGGACAAAAATCTCTGTCACAACAGAAAAGCATCTTTTTTATCAATACACTTTAGCACAGTTGGCTAGAGTATTTGTGAAACTTAAAAAATTAATATTTTCAGCTTATTTAGGAATTATCATTTAGAGTAGTAATTTAAATATTTATAGTTAAATATTTTAAGTGTAAATTAATATTAAGTTGTATAATTTTAAAATACACAGCTTTTGTGGTTCTTTCAGCATTGAGATCACAGTTTAAACTATTTTAACACATCTGATTCTGTTTAACCTCTCAGAGGTCAGAAAGTCTATTCAACTTGCATGTAATTTGTGAGGAGATATGCATATGTGTGTGTCCTGGGTTAGGCTGAAAGCTCCTTCAAGAAATAATGCTTCAACACAATTTTTGTTTGCTTTTTTACTTCTGACATGAAAATAAAGGTTTACTACTACTTTTATGATGGATTGGTTAGCTGATTGGTATATCTCCTAGTTCTAGTATGTTCTAGCACTTTTTCAATTTTACTGGAATCCTGTTCCAGTACATTTGTCTTAATTTTCAAATAATATATGCACTTTTTTTTTAATGAAAAAGTCAACTATCTTAGGATGGCTTAAAAATAATTTTAATTTTTTTTCTACAAAGAAACCACACTCAACAGAGGCAAACATATCCAACAGTTTGTTATTAATTTTTAAAGATGTTATTTAGATTACTCTTGAATTATTAATTTTAGGCATTACTTGCTATTTGACACTTTCTTTCATCCAAAATATAATTAAAATAGAATATTATTTCCAGTTCTTCTCAGGATATAAGGTACTATTTTTAAAAAATTTTGTCATATGGTGATAGTTTCTACGTAAGATGAAGGTATTTTGTTGCCTTTTCTCCCTTTGACCACCAAATTTATGTCAGCTATATCTTCGATTTCTACATCTTCAATTTTATCATTTTTCTAAACCAATTTGGACTTTTATTCAGAGTTATGCATTCTCCCTTCCAGAGAACATTATCCTCAAAATCTGTGTGTGTGGGGGGGTGTGGGGCAGGGGATCAGTCTTAAATTTATTTAATTGTTTTATCTACATCATTCTATCTCTGCAATTCAATTCTTTTCCTGTCACAGCCACCTGCAGTTCTCTATATAATGCATGTTTTACTAAAATTTATCTGACTTTTCCTCCTTCAATATTCTTCATTTGGTTCCAACAACAAAGTAACGTCCTCCTACAAAGAGTTTGAAAGGAATTATTCCTCCTCCTTTTTCTCAAAATATTTGCATAAGACTTGTAATATTTCTTCTCAAAACGTTTGAAAGAATTCACCAGCGAAGAGCCATCTATGGAAAACTACACATATTTTTCCTGTAGTAAGAAAGTGTTTTATTATGAATTTTATTTTTTTTAAATAAATACAGGACTATTCTGATTTACTTTCTTCTGGAATCAATTTTGATGATTTGTGTAGTCAAGGAATACATCTACTTCTAAGTTTCTAATTTATTGCCATTAAGATTAACATAATATTCCCATGGTAAATATATATGAAAAAGGAAACGTCACAAATATATATACT